AAACCGGATCAACAGAAAAAAAAATAGAAAGAGTGAGAGAGAAAGTAGGAAAAAAACTTTTGCCAACAGAAAAAAACCGGTGGCAATTGTTTTCCAGTATGTCACGAAAATGTTCAGAATTCGAGATTTCGACCGTTTTGTTCTCAAAAATCTGATCATAAACATTGTATGCATTGGTCATAATAAAGGAAATTTAAATCGGAATAAAAAGTTTATCTATTCATTGTTTGATTTTTTTTTGTTTGTTTGTTTGTTTGGCAAATTGGCTTATTGAAAGAAAATTCTTTCAAGTCATGACATACAGAATTCAAGTAGAAATTACCATTCGTATGTATAGAATCTATAATGACTATTGAAAGACACATGGTCATGAAAGAGATTTTTTTTTATTGCCGTATTGTTTTTGTATTTTTACTGACAACACAGTTTGTTGAAAATTCACCGGATTCAATTCGAAATGATGAGTATGAGTGGGAAAACAGAAAAAAAGCTACTTCATCAAACGGCAAAGTTGGTAGTTTATTGTGAAAATCAAATGTAGATATAGAAAAACAATTTTTTTTTGTCTACTTCGGATGTAAAAACACAACAATGACCATTCATGACGTTTATCGTTTCTATTATTATTAACTGACAATATGTGTTAACGGAAAAAGATTGCTTTCCTTTGCTTTCTATCCATTATTTCATTTCGCACAATCAAACACACACACAGAATCAGTGAGTGATGATTTGCATAAAATAAAAAAAAAACAATTTCCAAGCCCTAATGACCAAAAAAAAATCATAGAATTTGAATTTAATGAATGAATGAATAAATGAGAATGTAGACGAATAAAAACTATTTGGAATTTCAATTTAATTCTGTTTGCCATACATTCATTATGTATATGGTCAAAAATCATTCCATTCCATTTTTATTTATTTTTCATCATAAGCAAACATGATGATGATGATGATGATGAATTCTGTATTCAAAATTAAATTTCATTCAATTGAAATTTATCTATCGAAAAACGTTGAAAAATGAAAAAATTTTTCAATATTAATATCAATTTGGAATATAAATTAGGTGGTGTATGTATACGAAAGAAAGAAACGATACAGTACAGAAAAAAAAAAATTTGAATGAGTCTCCTATTGTGAATAGCAAATGATAACTGATTTTTTTTTCAGGTAATATTTTTTTTTCTACGCTCAATTCTCATATTATCATTCACAATGAAGATCGTATTATGCATGAATGATTCAAAATTCAATAGTCAATAGAATAATTTTCATTTTGAGATTTTTGTCAGAAAAAAAACTCAATTTTCAATGCAAAAAAATATAGAAAAATAGAAATCCGATAAAAATGTAAAATTTTTTTCTTCCAATGACATACAATGATAACGACTTTTAAATTTATAACATAAAAATCAAAGTTAAAAAAAAAGAAGAAAAAGACAAGTAAGAAAAATTGTCGATTTTATTTTGACAATCGGATCGACCATTTTCAATGTTGCACTTGATCGTTTGACATTTATTTTAAAATCGGTACTTTATTTCCAGATTATCATCATCATCATCAACAACAACAACAACAACGGAATTCAAGACAGGCAAAAAAAAAAAAAGATAAAACGAAAACTAGAAACTGAAATAGAAAAAAAAATTGAAAACTATAAATCATACTTAATAAGTTAATGGATAAAATGTACCAACAACAACAACAACAACAAGGAAGTGTTCAATTGGAATATCAATGTAATCAATGAGTGTTAGAAAGAAAAAAAAATAAACGACAAAATTGTCAACAAGTTCATCGAATATGTCAATTATCTATGTTATTAAATGAAAAATATAGAAACAGAGACAACATATACATGTATTTTATTTTTATTTTTTTTTGTCCATTGAATTCTCGGAACTTTAATTTGATTTGAACCGAGAAAAAAAAATTGAACCAGAAAAAAAAACTTGATACTGGAAACATATTGACAGGAAACGAAAATAAGTTAACCATGATCATGGCTAAAATATGCAATAGACAGTCAATTATCAATCAACAAGGGAACAACTAATATAATTTTCCATTGAATGATGATAGAATGTGAAATGATAAAAAAACAGCGAATGGGGCAAAGAGAAACTTTGACTGCATATAAAAAACCCCAAACTATGGATCAAAAAAAAAATCAGGAAAAAAATGACAGCCCAATATATTAGATAGAAAGAAAAAAGAACCAGAAAAGTTTCCAAAAAAAAGAAAAAGAAACGAGTTCGTGGAAATCAAGTTGCTTTATGCACAATGATGTTAGCAATGAATGTGAATGAAAATTCATTTGCAACAATTCTTCATTCAACTTTATTCATGATTTGATCAATCACACGAGAACATAAACACACAAATCATCAAGATGAATATATGAAAAGTAAAGTTATTTGAATATAGAAAAAAAAGAAAGAACAAACGAAGGTCGATTCATTGAAAATCATCATTATCATTATCGATCGATGATGATGATGATGATGATGATAATGACGATGATAAGATCAATTTATGTTATAAATTCTAAAATCATTTATGTTGTTGTTCATCATGTGCAACGTAACATGGCAGTTGTAATTAACGAGTTTCAAACGATTCAAAACAAACTCTTCCCTTTCAACTAACTACTATTGCTATTTATATTCTAATTTTTTTTTCATCAGAATTATTCATACATACATACACACACAAAGCAACCATTGTTCAATAATCAACGGAAGCATATAGGGAGAATATTCTACACATTGTAAAATCATGAATAACCAATAACCGGGTGAAAAAGAATAAGGAGGAAACGAACGAAAAAAAAAATTCATCAGAGCGTATCGTTCGAACAAGACAATGTATTTTCTCTAACTAAGACTAAAACAAGCGAATCAAAAGCAAATTGATTTTCTTTTTTTTGGTCTTCCACCAAGATATAAGTGAATTTTTTTTGTATGAAATTCTCTCTTTAATAAGACAAAAAAAGTGAAGTTGTTTGAAATGAGAGAATCAATTTGCAAATCATTTTTATGTCAATCGTTCGTCTTCTTTTTTTTTATTCATTGGAATCATTGCAAACATTTTTCTCAGAATCATAGTGGAGAGAAAGAAAAAAAAAAAGATATCGATCGTTTCAACGACTTATTGAATGTTAATTTAAAATCAATATTAAAATAAAAATTTAAATTGTACTGAAACGGCTGGAAGGGAAAAGAATTTCGACAAACACCGGAAATGTCAATGATATAATGCTGACACGACATAAAAACAGAGACATTGGAAAAAATATTTGCATTGTCCAAAATTCTTAACACATTTTTAAATATTTTTTTTTGTTTGTTTTATTCAAACAAAAAACCAGCCACAAAGATGATCAAGAATAAATAAATAAATTTTCACTTTCACCAATTTACCACAAATTTTCTATCAATCATCGAATAAAATTTGACAAAAAAAGAAAACTGATTAGCCCTACAAAGAAATCAAGCAAGCAAGCGTAAAAGCGTAAATTCAACTCAGGCAAAAACAATTGATTGACTGTCGAACCCAACAACAACAACAGCAACAATAGGGTTCAATGGAATTCGATCCAATCGAATTGTGTGTGTGTGTGTGTGTGTGTGTGTGAAACAAAAATCAAAGGCGACAAAAACGAAAATCGATTGGATGTCATCTGTGCAAGTGTGTATACCATCATTGTTGGCCCGAAACACCAAGACAGTTTGAACAGGACAGAAAACAAAATCCAACGATTTTAATTCACTTCAATTGAAAATGACGAAAGGAAGTGAAAGCAAGAAAAAAAACTTGGTAAATTCATATGGTGCCAAAGCCACTGATTTTATCCAAATGATTGCCATTGGTAACAGCACCTACGCAGCATTACACACACACACACAAGGAATCAGAAGAAAAATCGGATGAACATCGAAAACAACTACGAAAAAAAAGTCAAAATTTCACGCATCACCAAACACATACATGCACACAAACATTCAATGAATAAAATGTGGCTAAAATTTAGGGAAATAAATTTTTTTTCACCCTCTTAGAATAATTCACACACAAACACACTACCAAACTCCAAACGATGATTGGATTCTTGGATTTTTTTTCTTATTTTTTTTCTGGTACCATGATTCTTGGAACATTCGAATCCCAATTTGTTTGTTTGCATTTGCAATCGAATTTAGGTTCTGTTATATTAATGTGTGCGTATGTGAATGTGTGACTTGATTTTTATTTTCAATTTTGCAACACATACTTGTTCTAAACACACACACACAAACATCTTTTACCCGAATTCGTTCCATTGTTATGGTTCTTGTCGTCTTGTTTCTTTTATCCATACATTTGCATGTAATTAAATTGACTTTACATATCATGTTGACCAGATTATAATATAATACAAATAGACAATACTGAATTAGTCTTTTCGATTGTAATTATCTTTATTTATTCACATTCATTTTCGGATAAAGAGAACAAAAATCGAAATGATTCTCTACAGGCAACAAACAAATCTATATCATACAAAGAAAAAAAAATAAACATTTAGAAATATGTGTTGATCATTTATTGATACCATTACGTTCAAAAATTCTGAGCGTTAAGCGAAACAGCGCTAAGCAGGGCTATCTTTACATAATGCATTTTACCCTTCATATACAATGTAACAATGTAATGCAATGTAGGGTTTATACAGCGTTATATCGAATCAGCGCTAAACGCATTTTGAGTGTATTTGTGTACAAACCAATAATTTTCTGTTTGAAACATTTTTCTTTTGATATTTTTTTTAAATGGTGTATAAATAATGACGATAGCAATAGCAATAATTGGTTAAGAAAGAGACAGAGAAAAAAACTAAAAAAAAACGAATTAGAATCGTAAATAGTCAATCTTAAATGATTGAATGATAAAAAAAATATTTATTCGACTATATACACACAAATGGTTTGATTTTTGATTTCATATAGCAACAACAATTTTCATGAAAAAAAATGAATTAGATTTCAATGATGTTATTATAATATTTTCGTTTCTATTTGACCAAATTCATGGAATTCATTTCGTTTTATCATCTATCATCATCATCAAGCAAATGAAAACAAAAAAAAACTTACCAGTAAGTGAAACAAATCGAATCATCATCATATTCGATTATCAAGTTTTATTATTTGATTTTATTTTTACAGATAAAATAGTCGATAATAGACAAAAACAAAAAACAAAACAAAACAAAAAAATAAAAAATTGGATTGAAAACAAAGAATGTAACGTAAATCGAAACAAAGAAAAATCGCATGAACGATCCAGAGATATTCAACAAACAATATATAATTCCTACAAAAAAAGTTGTCCCCTTTTTCGAATCAAATTATCTGAGAATGGAAAAGTTGAATTTATTCTCATTCATCATCATAACGATTCTGCCGCCGGCCGAAATCAGAATTGGATAAATCTTGCAAATTTTTTTTTCGTATTTATGATATTACCTTTTGAAATATATTGTGACATCATTTAGATTTGATTTATTGTTTGCCGCTTTGACGATCATAACGACTGAATAATTTCTACATAATTTTATCCAATAACAATAATTATTGAAAAGAAACATACGATTTCAGTGCTTCGGGCAATCAGATCAAAGATCATCATAATCATCAAACAGTCAATGGGTTTGCATCAAAACATTGCTTCAAGCCTAAAATTCTTCTCGATCAAGATGTTTATCAAGAATTTTCATTCACATTTTATAATTCAGAAAAATATTGATTCAAAACATATTCAAACAATTGTTCTGAAGAGATTTGATTATCTAACTTCTGTTATTGTTATACAGAATTGTTGATATGAAGTGATAAGAATCTATACATGACCAAGAATGATTAATCTTCCATATTGTAAGATTATGACAATGACATTTTCACCTATATGATAAACATTTATGGTCATTCTTAAATATTTGTCAAAAATCCAATATATGAATCGATAAAATGTTGTGGATTATTTTGATCACCATAATGGCCATCTTATTTATTTGATTCAAACAGCATAAATTGATCCAATGATGATGAAGAAATCTAGGAGAATTTCTTTTTTTTTTTTTTTGCTCAAAAGACAAGCTGAATAACACGAATAATTTTTTTTTTTTGCTTTTCTACATTTTTTTTATCTATTCCTTTCTTTCTGTTGTTCATATATTTCCATATTATATAAGATATGACAAAATATTAAGAAAAATGAAAAATTGAAAAAAATAAAAATTCCATGAAAATCTTGTCGTCGTTGTGATCGGAGAATTTTTGTTTTTTAATATTCCATTATTTTCGTTAGAAGCAATGTCTTTATGTCAACAAATTTTAGATAAATTACCATAATACAACCCAACAAAAACTAAACAAAACCTAAAACAATGATGATGATGATGATGATGACAGAATCTTCAATCTTTGGGGACCTAATCTTATATATTTTATTATTATGTTTAGCTTTTAACGCTGTAGCTTTTTTTTTCTCTTTCGAACATTATTTTAACGGCTGTTGCAAAAATTACGGTTTAATAATTTTTCAGTGATTCCTTGATCTAGTTAAAGTATGAATACATTTCACGTTATTCTTGTTGTGTGTGTGTGGTTTCTGGTTTTGGGTTGTTTGCGTTGGTTTCTTTATTCTAGATTTTTTTTTTGAAAATCACGGTTATTTCGGTTTTGATTTTTTTTAATCTCTTTTACATTCCAATTATTTATTTCATTTAATTTCATATTTTCAGGAAATTTCATAAAAATATGTACGAATCTAATCTAATACAATAAATAAATGAAGAAATAAAAATGAAAATGAAATCCACTAAATTATCATGATGATGATCATCATCATGAGCCTTTCCAAAAAGGGGTTTTATTCTGATTTATTCAATCTAAAATCTCATGAATCAAAATCATACAGTGAAGCTTTGCCAACGTTGCCGATGATAATCATCATTTGGATCATAAATGCAAAAATACAACCGAAATAGGAAATCAAAAGTTATGGTCGGCCGCCGTCATGTTGAGAAAAAATAACAAAAAAAAAAATGTCCGTCATGGACCGAATAATTCTTTCCGAACAATAACACAAGATCAACTCTAATCAAAGTTTATGAAACGAGAAAAAAAATGAATTCTCTTTTTATCATTATTTTTTTTGTGTATCAAAAATAATGCATACAAAAATTATAATTATTTTCGTTAGAATTGTGCAGAATTTGAAATAGAAAAAAAAGAGAATCGATTCATAAACAAAAAAAAACATCTTGTTTCTTTTTTTTGTGTATAGCAAAATCGTTACAGAATCATAATCCTTGAAAGACGAACAACAACGTTCGAATCTATGCGAATAAATATTGTATAATGTACGAGTGGCGAGAAAAAAAATGGATATGAAATGATGAAAATTCATTGAACACTCATCATCATCATTTTAACTATCAACATTACATTTATTGTTATTTTTGTTGTTGTTGTTGTTGTTGTTGCCAATTCAATTGATAATAATAATAATAATCATCATTCATAACATTATCCGTATCAATAATGTAATGATGACAGGAATGAATCAATTTTTATTTATTAATTGATCAGTTGCTCATCAACATCATCATTATTATTATTATTATTTATCTTCTAGAATTGAAATTGAATTATCAAAGTTCATTGTTATTTTATTTTCTAGTTTTTTTTGTTCAAGTTGTTGTTGTTGTTGTCATGTTGTAAATTACATTTGAAAATTGCAAACCAACAGTAACAATGTATTAAAGTAATATAATAACGTTGCAATATAAGAATTTGGATCAACACAATCTAATAAGAAAAAAAAATAATAGAAAAATCCCAAAAATAGAATGGTAGTAGAAAATTAACATCATAAAGTCAATGAATTAAGACATCAACTAAATTATAAGAAGAAAAAGAAAAAGAATTGCCCCCACACACACACACACACACAAACATACAGTAGTAGTCACTTGATTCGTTTCATTTCATTACATCTTTGATGGAACTCTATTTCTTCGTTTCTTTTCGTTCGTTCTTGTGTATTACATTATGATGGACTTCTTCTTCTTCTTCGTCGTCGTCGTCGTCGTCGTCATTGTCGTTGTCGTTGAAATTGATGGCCGTCTCAATTATGTTATAGCTGCTATAATATACAACCGGATTATAGAACCAACCATATATGAAAAAATACCACCATAGTTGGTTTTTTTGTTGTTGTTGTTGTTGTTGTTGGTCATTTTGGTATAGTTCTATTATTTTCATTAGATTGTTTATATGTTTTTGTTGTTGTTATTGTTATAATATCCAATTTGAAATAACAACAACAACAACAACAACAACTATAACATACAAAAGATACATTAAAAGTGAAATGAAGAGTGAGAGAGGGTCTTTGTTCGTATGTATGTCGGTAAGTGTGTGTGTGTGTGTGTTTGTTCGTTGTTTATCATTTGACGACAATGAAATGATGTTTTTGTTATGTTCATTCGAGAGTCGGTAATTTTTATCTATATTTTTTTCCCATTGGTTGAATGAATAGTTGTTTTCACTTGTTCATAGGATAGAATCCATCCTCAACAAGAATATCTACCCGTTCATCTTGTTTTTTTTTTTTTAGTTTTCGTTTCTGGTCATGAGTGACAATTTTATCCATTCTCAGTCAGTTATAAGGCTAATTCACAATAGAAAAAAAAATTACCAAATGTGAATGGTTTTCACTTCATCTTTTCGTTATTTTTTTACATTCATTTTTTTCGCGCTTTTTTTTGTGAAATGGTTTTGTTTCATATATGAAATAACATGAGTGAGGCGGCCAACCGACTCTATTAAGTTTCTGGATCATTTTTTTTTCTTTCATTTGACTCACTCCGCTAACTTAGCTGCTATGTAACTATTATAACTAACAAAATCATGTATTTTCTATTGGAATTTTTTTTTGCTGTGATTTTCTATCCCATTTTCAACTACTATATTCTGACCATTTACATTACTACCATAGTCGTTCAAGTCATAATTGCCACTGTCCACAGGATACATGTTATTCTTATAATAAAGACAATATATATATATTGTGTGTGTGTGTCCACTAAAATCAAGTTCCAGTAACGAAAAATATCTTTCATTCGTTACATAACGAATGAGAAGAAGAAGAAAAAAAACAGTAATGAAAATGAAATTATTTTCATTTTCTATCTTACATTCATTTTCAATATTATTATTATTTCGTTTATTTCTTAAATATAATCTTACTTTGATTTAGGATTTTAGTGTGCTGTTGATGTTGTTGTTGTTGTTGTTGTTTATATGTTGAATTAGTATGTATGTTTTGAGATTAGAAACATAGACAAGACTAATCACATCACAATATATATTTATATAGAAGACAATCCAAATGACTAAATTTTTTCTGATGAGAATATAGAGAAAATGAAAGAGAAAATTGGAAAATTTATATCAAAAAAAAAGACCGATGTATTACGACAACGACAATAACAGCCAAAAATTATATAAACATAGTAAATTCAACAAGAACGAACGAGAAAATGGAATATACAAGGGAAACACACACACACACACACACACACACACGACCAGTAAAATGAAAATAAATAATAACAATCCATTTGTGTGAAATTAATCTTCATTTTTTTTTTGTATGCCATTCAAAGAATTAGGTTGAGGGGAACGGAAGAAAAAAAAAAAGAAAACTGAAGCAATGTAAAAAATGTTACAATTTTTTTTTCACTGAAACGAAAAAAAATTTCAACCTATTAAGTTGAGAAATTTTAGGGCTTAAAAATTTTTTTTTCATTTTCATTTTCATTTTCATTTTCATTTTGAATGGAAAATAAAAACATCTTGCTACGTGCACATATATACATGGAGCCATAATGAAAATTACGATGCATTTCTGTCTAAGTGTGTGTGTGTGTGTGTGTGTAGTCAGATTCCTTAAATTTGGATGGTAATGATCATTATCAGCCAAAATGAATATATCTTTTAGATCGATATCGTTAGTCTACATATTTAAATACAATGTACGAGTGTGTGTGTGTGTGTGTGTGTGTATATACTATCAATAATGAATTCAATAATGGCATATTTGATACGAGTTTTGTTGGTTGCGTTGGTTGTTTGAAAAAAAAAATAATAAAAGAAAAAGTTATCAAACAATAAACGGTAAAAAGGAGAAATAATAATAATAAAAAATATTGTTATCAAACAAAAAAAAAGTGGCGAGAAAATTATTTTTTCTTTCCCTTTTTTCATTCAACTATCAAATGGAAAGAATGGAAAAGAATCATCCGTATTATTGAATTGGATGATATTGTATGATCATGATGATGATGATGGTTATCACTCTATTCGTAGAAATAGAGTAATTTTAGGTTCACAAAAATATTACGAAATTAGAATTACGAATTACGAAATAGAATCCAGTTAAAATGAAAGAAACAATTTTCGATAGATATCACCATTCAAACAGTCATCAATGACTAGATTATTTTACTAGACTAATAATTATCATTAAACATTGATAACAGAATTGAACCTGTTTCAATGAATGGAAAGAGCAAAAGTGAACCAAAAAAAAAAAAAGAAAAAAAAAAAGTTTTCCGTATTCACGTTAATTTAAATTAAAGTTTTGGGTTTCTCGTCCATCGGTTTCCACTGTTTGTTAATAACTGTTTTTAGTGACAGAAAACTTTTTCACACTTGCTGACCACACAATGATGATGATGATGGTCAGTGTGTGAGAAAAAAAAATTTCGGCTTGTGTTCAGAACTTTGTCAACGAAAGAAAAAGAACGGCGAAAAAAAATATGAAGAAAAAGAAACCA